TTGGCTGATGTAGTTCCTTTGTTTAAAGAACAAGGAACATAAAACATCAGTTCCGAAGCACTTCTCAACTGGATCTCGGCAGCCCCCTCCTAGTTGCCATGGTCGAAACGGAGGCGATTGTCGGAAGTTCAAACACGTCTCAGTAGATCCGTACAATGCAATTACATCAGGTAATCTGCAAAAAGAAACTGTGCCGAGGCATACTTCGCTGTTGGCCTTTTGGCATTCCTCGGTGCAAAAGCCGGGAGGGTGCTCGGCCATGCTGCACTCTTTCAAGAAGGATGGGAACTGTCTCGATCTTACGCATTGCAACCGTACAACCAGATCCGCACTGTTAGCACAAGATGCTTCCGTTCCCAAGTGACTTTCGGTAGCATCCTCTCCAGAGGGTGAATCTGAGTTTGGTCGAAACCATGGCCGCTTTAGCTCCTCTCGCCGAAGCAGATGGCCAGTCGACTCGCATGCAAGGATATTCTCGCCCCGAGGAGCTAGGGAGGTTTCCTGGTCCTTGGGAGAGTAAGCAGTCTTCTCTGCGGTAGGTTTGATGAATCCAGCTATACCTGGCAAATGCGAGTGGCATCAGGGCTGCTAGCGGCGACTGTGGCGTGAAGGGTGAAGAAGTAAGGCAACAGAATCCAGATGGGAACCATCCTGGCAAAATGATACTAACAAAGTATAACAAATCGTCCTGAAATTCTGCCTCCAACAGCCCGGTAATCGATGTTAAAACTAATCGAATGCCGTGTTTCCAAGAGGAGGGGATAATAAATGACCTAAAGAGCTAGGCATTGCCTTCAAATACGTTTGTGACCTTATAATCTTGTAAGCCAAATTGCGTGACTAATAACAGTGGCTATAGGGCTCTTTGAATTTGAATTAATAATTAATAATGCGCACTTTCATTTTCTCAAGAGCCTCATGCATGGATCCCTGGACAATACGTCTTGCTGAATTACCTTACATATTAATTACTATACGATTTTTCTTGAATAGAGTACCATAGAGGCTGAAAATTTTCAGTACTATGGCGAAGTGGGTTTCCTAAAAATGTTACTCGTAGCTTCGTATTACAAAAAGGCCTGTTTTGATCATTCTGCGTAGCCACCCACTCTTAATAGAGACCCAATTAAAGTGAGGGATTATGCGCCACCGATCAGCGTAAGAATTTAGACAATTCGGCATCGTGCGTGTACGCAGATCCTTAGATCCAATGAAAATTCGGTTGTGGAGAATTCCACTAAATATCCACCGAATCTCCACGATGCTCAGCTGCCAACTGAGCTCTTAACGCGTCCTTACTGCCAGTTTACCAGTTATTATTTAACGGTCGAAGCAGAGATCATAAAATTGTAATTTACTGCAAGCAAAGGGTAACCATTGCGGATATAGTCATTTATTTAGGGGATAAGTATTAACTACTCTCCCTGGCCACATTGGCTTTGCGCAGCAATCCCCCACTTCTACTTCGTAGTTGGCTCCAGTATGGTCGTCGATAAGGTCGATACGATACGATACTGTCAGAGGGAGCAGACTGACGGTCTAATCCGCACACGTATAAACTCCGGTGAAAGAGGCAGGTCAGACACAAGGACTTGAGTCAGGTATCGATACAGTAGAGGAACATTGCCCTAATCGGGATACACGGGAATTGGCACTGATTCAGGCCACCACGGGTCCCAGATTGGTATCTATTCGTATAAATACCCCCTCAATGTCGCACAGATAGATAAAAAACATGCATCATCGTTTGGACTCAATTGTGCCTGCCCTTATCCTTCCGCCCGCGCTCTCAGCTTGCTGAGAGATACAATACGATGCTGATATCGACATTGCAAGAGCATATGTTCATGTATCCAAATTGAGCTACCTCCCGCTCCGTATCACTCCATTTTTCTTCCGGTGCTCCAAACATTCTACCTTCTCAGCAGTGACCCTCGTGGCGTTGTTGTCATACACTTTGGAGGCCGCCCTCGTGGCGGAGTCGGTTCAAATCTGGCCGGGGGGGAGGTCGAGACCGGCAGACTAGCCCATCCTGCCTTACCAAATGGGGCACACAGCCTCTAAGGACCTGGGTCATCCCTAGCGGAGGCGCTCCCGTTATTTTACCTCCGCCTCGAAGCACCCAACCCGTGTGGGCGATATGACAAGCATGCGACGATCTCGCCCGATGGTCGAAAAACTCTCGGGCCGCCTGCGCAACGCGTCAGCCACGCAACCAACACCTCAATAACGCCGCAAACTCTCAACGTCACCGTGTCCAACCCCTACGGTATACACCAACCACGATAGGCGACAAGATGCTCAACGTTGAAACACATATGCGCAGACAAGATAGTAGAATACGGGTTTTCGTCCCGGCCTTCGGCTATAGGGTTTTCCTATATTGGTAACGGATAGAGGCTCTAGGGCTACGGCCGGCTAGTGTAATAAACTACTACTACTACTACTACTCAACAGTGTCCTCCCCCAGCCTCATTCTTTCCCATGATGTAGTTCGCCGTGCTCCAGAGAATACTCGCTCTGCCTCTGCACTCATCGCGGGAATCGACAGAACATTAACTGCAAACTGCGACCGTTTCGGCCAACGCTTACGCTGTTGCGTATCTAACCACCATTCGAGGGCAGGAATCTCGATGAGGATGGCCAGCTCGCTGATGTACTCTCCGTATTCATCCCTGCTTTGTGGCCGTGGAAAATTCTTAAGCTTTTCAGCAATAAGGTCAAACGTTTCCTGGCTACCTGAGGAGGTGGACACGCCCACGAGCGGCCCGAGAGGCGCTGTATGCGCTGTGATATTGATGCCGGCTGGCCTGCTATGGCTGCGCTAAAATAGGTCAAAGCCTGTGAGCAAAGAGCTTCTGATCCTCCCTCACGCGTTGAGGAATTATATGGCCGCACGGCAGGCCCATGCTGACAATGAAGTTATAGGGGCAGCGGCCCTGTGGTATGCGTAGCTGCTTCGGTTTCTTCTAGTACTTAATTGCAGCCTTACGGCACTTAAAGGGATAGTCAGCTTACCGTAGTAACTATAGCTAGTTTTTTTTTATTACTCGCATGCAGCCTCTAGGGCCATTGCGAGGCTAGTAAGGGGAAGCCCCCTACTAACAGTCCTAGCTAATTATATAACATTACGGTTTATAACTAATTAGGGAGGATTTTTCTTTGTATAAATACAAAGATAATAAAGGAAAGGTTAGTCTAGTTAGTCCTACGCTGTGTTTTTCCCCCCTATTGCTAGGTTCCTAGGCCCCCCCCTATTTTTTCCTTATATCGAGGATCGAAGTAGTTGCTAGGGTTAAGAGGCGTTATAGCGTTATAGCTATAGTAGCTTGTCGTTGTATAGCCCGAAGGCTGTTCCGCTGTATGGCCCGGGGGCCGTTTCTGCCCCGCTGCAAGCGGGGACTGTTAGTGCTGGCCGGTTAGGGCTGGCGGTGGAGCAGCTAGATAAGCTAAGGGGGGGGGGGGGTAGCGGGATTCGAACCCACGACCTCGTAGAAGAAGCGGGTCTTCTAGGCGCTTCCACCACTACACTATCTCCCTAACTATAGCTAGTTTCTAAGGTTATAAGTAACCTAACATTGCCCCCCCCCTTGCTCACCTAAAAATACGCTAAAAATATTACTATAGACCCCGCTATATTATACTATAATTAGCTAGTACCTTATTTACTAACGTATATAATTAGCGAGCTAGATAGATAAGCTAGACGCCCTTAAATCCTATATAAAATAGTAATTTCGACCTTATTATAAAATTTATTAATTCTTAGTAATATTTAAAGAAACTTCGTAAGTTTATTTAAAACATAGTAATACTACTACTATAATTATTTAGATATTTATATATATTTCTTAGGGCAGTTATTATTATTTTAGTACTAAATAGCTATTTCGTACTATATATTCTTATTTATTCTATAGCGTAAGTAAATATTAAGATTTTAGAGCATTAAAATAATATTAGTACCTTATAATAAGTTTATTATTTTAGTTTTAGAGAGTTAAGGGATTTTATAAGGGGGTCGAAATTACTGTTTTATATAAGATTTAGAAGTGCTAAGCTTACTTATCTATCTAGCTTACTTATTATACACGTTATATATAGGTTAGTATTAGGTTATTATTAGTATTAAGTGTTAGGGATAGGGCTTCGAGTTAGCTTTAATATAGGTGTTCTTATTAATATAAATGTTTTAACTAATTATATTACTCTATTATAGGTCTATAAGAACAGTGTTAGCTTAACTTCTATAGCGTATTATCAGGTGAGCGGGGGGGGGGGCCAATATCAGGGGGACTGTATTCTCTACTTAACCTGTTAGACTAACCAGCTAAGCAAAAGTAGAGTGCACGTCGAAAGACCCACCAACAAAATATTATTATATATACATAATATTACTGCCTTTGGAATTACTTGCAAGGCTGCTGACTCCACCTGGGTCCATCTCTCTCTATATATACTACAGTATGGACTTACCGCAAGCTGATCAACTGCAAGTCTTGTTTGATAGGCAAGTCGACATCACTTCTTTTTATTAATTCTTCTTTCCTACGTTCTTTTGCGTGAGCTGCGTCTCAAACTTTCCAGCAGTTATGTTGTACAGACCCTGGCCTTTATCCGGGACCCTATATTGGCTGCTATGGCACGGCAATAGTCTCGGAAATCCTGTGAAGCCCGATTTGGCACCAATGCAGGCAACTCCACCTATTGCATCATCATCACCGGAGCAAGGCCCTCCACTACTGGCAACTAAGGAGCTGCGACCGCCATTGCCCCTCGCACTAGAAACAAAGCGATCAGCACAAGATGATGATTATTTCTATCGAGTCGACTCAAAGAGTCCGATATTAGTAAAGTCCCAGGGCGGATTCCTGCCCTCAGTCGGGCGCCCATCAACGGACGATTTTGATATTTTACGTCACGCTCTTATAATGCGATCAAGAACTGATTCAAAATTCTCATCCGCCTACGTTTCTGTGGGGGACACAACTCTTGAAGCCATGACTCTCACGGACGGCGAATGGCTTTACAAAATTCACCCGACACCAAACTTTATCAGTGTGGCTGCATCGCTTGGTGAATATGGCCCTTCGGGAAGTGAAGGTCATTTTGTAGCCTTGGGAGGGATACGGTGGTCTCAGGTAGCTGGCTGGTGGGCGAAAATATCTCAAGTCACCCCACAAATGCAACCAGCCTTTCAACCAAACCCTGACTACATGCCAAAAGGCGTCCATACAACGAGCGGAGGAGCGCCTCAATTTGTCCGGCTGCCTCAAAATCTCCTCAAGGATGCTAAGGAGCCATGGCTCTCACTAGATCCAAATAAACCCGGCGCACTCAGTATTCCTGACCGAGTTCGATCTTTCATGGGAGAAATATCGGCAGAGGTGGGCTGGGATGGTAGCTTCCCGTTGATTAGTTCTCCAGACGAGGCAGATGAGGAGAGAAAACAGAACATCACGGCGAACCCCCCGGCAGACGCTGTGGAAAACGAGGCCATCAAAGTAGCCGAGGAGCAGAAACAGGTGGACCAGATGTCAGACGACGAATCACACCTCATTAAGGAGCGGCTAGACGATATAGCCAAAGCCACCTCGACGCTAGTCGCCTCAAGCACAACGATGTATGTCCTTACTAAAGCCACTTGTTTTTTCATGGCCTTTGCCGGGGGGTTAACAGCTACGGAATTCCTGGGTTCTGATAAAATTGCATCGACGGCTGCTGAGAGCTTTCAGCTAATTTCACGACTCGTTGCGACCCTGAGTCAAGATGCACTGGTTAACCCCACCTCAACGAAGCAATTTCTGCACCGCCTTGACGGGATCATATCGGAGACCTTGGGCCACGTGGAGGAGCAGACTCAGCAGGAGATTAACAAGATCATAATGGAAGTCCCGGCAATTCTATCATCAGGCTTAAGTGTACCGCCAGAAGGCCTTGCGACCTTGCCACGCCCGCCACGCGACTGGCAAACTCATCTGCCGTCACTTGGTTCGGTCATGAATGACATAGTCTCAGGAGTTTTAGCAGACTTCATCAGAGGTCTAGCGGAAACAAACTCTGCAGTGTTGGAGCTTCCAGGAGGAGTACTAACGGAAACATCCGGTGAAGAACAATGGACAGAATTCATTGCCATGGAAGAAGTCATATTGCGTGAGGAGGCCGCCGCAGTTGAACGGGTGATAAATATTATCGAGAATCTAACTTTGTGATTCAGCGGTGAGACGGGGAGACTAGTAAAGCCGTGGCGCAAAACAAGGATCGCTGTCCGTTCATATAAAGTTTTAGGTCGGACAATATAGCAGCTAAATCCCTAGATGTCTAGCCTTAGGTTATACCTATACTCTAGGGGGATGCGTCCTACCCTTAAAATATAGTTTAATTAGTTTATATTAAAGTCTCTAGCTGTTATTTATAATATAATAAGGGGGTATAAGTTTCTTTGAAATTAATTCCCTATACGAAGGCTGCGACTAAAAGAGATGTCCCTTACCTAGGTTATATGCCCCTAGGGCCCTTGGCCTACCTATTCTCTATAGCTCTAAGGAAGGAAGGGAAGCCCTTCTAACCTTCTTAGCTAAAACAGAGATAGGGACAGCGAAGTAGCTCGAAAAGGAGTAACCTAGGGGCCCTAGGGCCCTTAGGGGGGGAAAATACTATACGGGAGGAACTAGACTAACCTTTCCTTTATTATTGCCTTTATAGCTACCCTTTCCCTAATTAGTAATAAGCCCCTAGGCTCTATAGCTAGCTAGGACTTTTAATAAGGGCCGAGGCTGTTACTAGCCTCGCTATAGCCCTAGAGGCTATATATAAGTAATAATATAAAAAGAAAATCCCCCTCCCCCTATCGCTATATATATTAGATTTCGTAGAGATTTTATACTATCCTACTTAACCCTACTAAAGAAGTATTATAGCTAGTTAATTAAATTAGTAAATTCTTAATTAGTATAAAACCTTTAGTATAAGTAAATTCTAACTAAAATGCCTCGAATAACGCGAAGTTAAGTAAAGCGGGCTATTACGGCCTAACCGACCTATTAAGTAGTAGCCGCTAGGCCGGCTAGGGCCGAGACTAGTATTAATAAAGCTTAGTAGCTAAGCTAACTAATAAGGCTCTTAGGACCGCTAAAGTAAAGACTTAATAAGGTTATAGTTATAATAATAATAAAGATATAGTTAATAGTTTATATAATAACTACTATACTTAATATATTTAAAAGTATCCTTAATATCTTTATTTATATTTATAAATTAGTTTTTATTTAAATATACTAAGCGTACCTTATAGCGTTAAACTTATATTATATATTATTATTAGTATTATTATTATTATTAAGATTATACTAAGGACCTAGCTAAAAGTATCTAGAACTTCGATATTAAATAAAAGGGAAAAACTTAAATACCTAAGGGAAAACCCTCCCCTCTTTCGGTATAGGTCCGCCTTAAATAAGGTCTTAGTAGTAATATATAGGAAATTTACGCTAGCTACCGCGGGCTTCTCTTACGCGTTCGCTTTTTAGCGTAGGCCCTCTTAGGCTATAGCCGCTTCTATCTAAAGCGGCCGCGGCCTAGGCTCGCTAGCCTAGGCCTAGGGTTATAGGTAGTAGTCTCTTTCTAAGGGCCTAACTTATAGGCGCCTCTATTCCTTATAGCTCCCGCGTCGCTACCGCGTAGCTATAGCCGCGTTAGCCTATCGGTCTATTAGTTAGTAAGGTAGGTAATATCTAGTTACCGGGCCGGGCGCTAGTATAGGTTGCTCCTAGGTAGGGCCAGCTAATTAAAATTCGGTTTACTAGCTTTATTAATCGAAAATCGGTTCCTATCTAGCTATATAACTTCTTAATTAAGGGCGCGGCGGTCTATATTTACTATCTATTATATAGTTATTAATTACGCGCGCCTAGCTTATATATATATATACTTACCCTCCCTATTACGGGATACCTTATAGTCGATAATCTAGGTACCTATAATAATATCTACTTTACTTAGGGAAGTTAACTTTAACTCTTTAAGGCTCCCTATAAAAAAAGGAACCTAGAAGCTACTAAGAAAACTCTAGGAAATTACCTAGAAATCCTAGAAATAATAACTAAGCGGATTATATAGATATTTTATAGAGATTTCCCTTAGGGATATATTATATAGGGAATATACTACGATTTCCAAAGTAATAATTCTCGTAAAGAGAGATATAAGAAGTATATAAAAATATATAAAGGTGAAATTAGAAGTAAGGGGTCGGATAGGTAGGGTAGAGAGATTTAATTTTTACGGGGGCAGTAACTACGGCAGGGGAATAATTATTATATTTCCTTAATTATCCTTCTTTCCTTAATCTAAAGCCCCTCTTTATACCTATCTAGTATCTTAATTAATAAAGAAGATCCTGCTTAAAGAAGCTACTAATGTCCTTTTAACTACCGAGCTTTTTGCTGGTTTTTCCCCTCTTTTCTAGCAGTTAGCGCTATATCCGTTTTATCTTTCGCTACCTCTATAGGAAGCTATCGCTACTTCTGCTTCCCCTTATGCCCCTACCCTCCTTTTTATACCTCTTTTTAGCTCCTTCTTCCTTCTTCTATACCGGGTGTTTTTAGCTTCCTTAGTCCCTCTTACTAAGGGATATCTCTAAGAACTACGAAATTAGGCTACGCTTCGTAATAATAATAGCTCCTTAGGGATTATACTAAGATTTCCTTAAGAAGTTACTATAAAACTATAGCGGGGAAATTATAGAGAAATACTTATACCTACCTAAGGAAAATACTAGGAAATACCGTTAATACGCCGTACTACTATTATATATTTATAAGGTTAAGATATTACTTAGTTAAAGCCCTAACTAATATCTTACGCTTACTATAGTATATATAGAAGATAGAGAACCTATTAGATCTTAGGCGGGTAGAGAAAAATATAAATATTTATTACTACTCTTACTTTAACTTATAAGACCGGTAGCTAGTTTATATTTAACGCGCGTAATAACGTATAGTAGCTAGTCTATATAATACGTTTAATTATATATAGTAGCTAGTCTATTTAGTTACCTATTAAACCTATACTAGATCTAGGTAAATAGCTAGGTTAAAGTACTAGCCCTATACTAAGGGACTAATATATAATAAATAGTAGTAATTTTAATCCCCTTAACTATCTATTCTCCTAAGGTCTATATTTAGTAGAACGGAAGATAAAGAATAAGAAAAGGGATAAGTTAACCTTAACTTATAAACCCCGATATCTTCCTAAGAAGAAAAATCTTACTTACGTACTAACGAATACCGGCTTCCTAATCTCTTTTTATAGAAGAAATACTTAGGGAACTCTAGATAGAGGTAGAACTTTAACGTAAAGGAAATATAACGACTATATTAAGATAAAATAATCTATACTAGGTAAACGTAAGCCTAGTACTAAACTAGTTAACTAGTCCTTAAACTAAACTATAGCTTTAGGATTCGAAACTAAAGAAGGGCTCTTAAGAAAACCTAATTATTATTAACCTCGCCTATTAGCTTTAAGCGGTACTAACTAATAACTAGGGCGGGATATATCTTTCCTAGGTAATATAAAACTAGATCTTATTTACCTTAGATAAAGGGCTAGAAGATAAAGATACTACCGCCGATATAAAAGAAGAAATAAAAGAAATAAAAAATAAGATCCTATTTATTCCTAATATAATAAAAGTAGAACCTATAAGACTAAGTAGTTTACTTAAAATACTAAGGAACTAGCTAACTATAAGAGCAGCGCTATAAACCGAAATATTAAATCTAATAAAGCTATCCTAGTTTATATACGCTTAGATATTTATCTTTAGAACTAAAGGCTTAGACTAGCTATTAAACGTATATATAGACTTTAGTATAGCCCGCTCTATAATTAAGGAAGACTAGCTTAACTACTTTAATAATATAACCCTTAATATAACCTAGTAAGTCCTACTATCTAGTATAGGAAAAAGCTAAACTAAGGGTTAAGCGACCTTAATAATTAATATCCTAGGGAAATAAGGAACGGGATTTAAGGTTAAGTAATTTACTATTAGCGCTTAGGTAGTCTAAACCCTATTTATAGGATTATTACTTAAATAAGATTTCTTAGTACTAAATAAAGTTAATATCTTAAACTCTAAGTAAATAATATTTATTAGCTTATATAGTAACTTAATAGTTATAGCTTACTTAACTTAATAGGGCTATGCGATCTATTATTAAGTTATATACTAAGCTAATATTAACGTCCTTATATATAAGATAGAACGCTTATTAGTATAGATTAAGGATATACTAAGGGATTATAATATAGTATTTTTTCTAAGAGACTTATTATTAGCCTATAACTTAATCTAAGGTATAACTCTAGTTATAGTAGTTAATACTACTACTCGCCGTATTAGATTTAAGAAAGGATAGTACTTAGGAATACTAATAGACCTTAGTAATAAAATATAGTTTTTATAGATCGACCTACCTAAGGAAACCCTAGCTAAGGTAACTTTAATTAAAGAGCTAGCTATATAAAAGACTATAGAATATAGCGAACTATACTAAGATAATAATATATTAATAAAAACCCTAGAAGATAGGAGCCCTAAGTCCGCTTAAGGGGAACTCCTTTTATAAATATATAAATAAACTCCGAACTATAAGATCGGGATTTTATAAGACTATAGCCTCCTAAAGATAATTACTTTAAAGGATATTAAAATCTATACTAAAGACCTTATATTTATAGAAAAGATTTAATATATAGTCGCTTCCTTTCTAACCTTATAAAAGGACTAAGGTACTATTAAGGTCTACTTAAACTACTATATATATATTCTACTAGTAGAAAATTAATACTTATAAAAACTAGCTTTTAAAGCTTACTTACTTAGCTAAAAGGATAAAGCGCTAATTAACTAGACCTATAAAGACCTATACTAAAAGGGGTATATAAAATAAGCTATAAAGGAAACCCTATTCGCTTACCTTATATTTATAGTTTAGAGAACTATATAGAGCAACGAAAAGGGCTAAATAGTAATAGATCTACGCGCTCTTAATAGCGTAGCTATCTTAGACGCCTACTTAATACTGCTTTAAGAAGATATAATTTAAAAGCTATAGGGAAAACGCTTTATTTCTACTATAAACGCTCGGTCTTTCTTTTATTAGTTCTTTATTTATAAGGAGTATTAAGAAAGGTTTAT